ATGGGGGACCCCCCCTCCTCCATCCCCACCACCACCTCCTCCATCCCACCACCACCCACAATGAGGGACCCCACCACCTCCATCCCACAGTCACCACCTCACCCCGTCCCCCAGGTCCTACCAGGTGGCCGGGGACCAGCCCGGCTCTCAGGCTCCTTGAAGGGCACCACAAGTGCCGTGTCAAGGGCTTTGAAGCAATCCTTGAGTGAGCTGCGCTGGTAGAACTCCACCAGCTCCTGTGGATGATGTGGCCAAGCCCTGGGGTCACCACCAGCCCCCAAACCCAATGTAGGGGGACCCAGAGATCTGGGTTTGGGGGGGGAGCAGAGAAGGGTGCTCCAATGCTCACCACCAGCCCCTTGAACGCCTTCTTCTCAGTGACACGATAGAGTCCCTCTGCCGTCATCACCTTGATGTGTTTCACCTCCCCGCGGTACCTGTGCAGGGGGACATGGTGGGCTGAGCTGAGGATCCACGTCCCCCACCCCCTTGTGCCCACCACCCTGGGGGTGTCCCTGGTCCCTACTTGATGCTGATGGCAAATTCACCGGCATCCTTCACCCGCTGTGGCACCAGGAAGGCGCCGTCAGAGCGGGGCATCAGGAGCTGTTCAGCTTCCCCCCGCTCCATGGGACCAGCGTACCTGGGGATTAGGGGATGGGGGTCCTGAGCCCCCAAACTGGCATCTCCCACCCCTCCCTGGGGCAATTTGTGGGGATTTGGGGAGTGGGGACCTGGGGATTATGGGTCAACCCTGAGGAAGGGTTGGGGGGGACACACCAGGAGGGTTGAGGGCCCCTGGGAGCTATGAGGTGATTGCAGGAAGGATGGGGCTCTCAGAAAATGATTTTGGGGGCCCTAATGCCAAGGAGGTGACCTTGAGAAAGGATTTGTGGGGCCCTGGGGAAGGATTTGAGGACCCCCAGTAAGGATGAAGGGCTTGGGGAGGATTTGGGGGGGATTTGGGGGGGGGGGGCATAAACCCTATGGGGTGACTCTAGAGGAGGATTTGGGGTGGCCCCAGGAGGGATAGGGGACCACAGGAAGGATTTGGGGGGCCCTGGGAGCTATGAGGTTGACTGCAGGAAGAATGAAGGACCCCAGGAAGGGATGTGGGAGGTTATGGAGGATATAGGGTGACCCCAGAAAAGATGGGGTGACCCTGGGGGGAGATTTGGGGTGGCCCCAGGGGATGATTCATGGGGTCCTGGGGGACACAGGGGGACATAGGGTGACCCTGGGGGAGGATTGGGGAGGTCCCCAAGGGTGATGGGAGCCCAGAGGAGAATTTGGGGTGCCCCAGGGACTATGGGGGGCCCCAACACCGACCAGGGGTAGACAGAGAGATCCGGCAGCGGCACCTGGGGGAGAGAAGCAGTGTTGGGGACCAAGGGCGGACACAGGGTAACTCCTCTGAGACACCTCCCCCCTGCCATATCCCATAGATACTCCCCCCAAATCCCAGGACACCCCCCAACATCTTGAGGACCTCAGGGTGGGTACAGGGGCTCCTGGGGACTTTTTGGAGTCTCCATACTCACACAGATGAAGGGTCTCACAGCAGCACAGGGGAACCAGCCTAGGTCACCGTTGGCCACGTTCCTGCCCTGGGGATGAACGGCCATGGGGAGCATGGAGTGGAACCCCCTGCTCCCCAGGAGGCTGGAAGGGCCACAGAGGTCCACCCTGGCCATGGAGGTCCAGCCCCGTGATGAGAGTCTGGTCCATCTCTATTGTGGGGGTCTAGCATGGCCAAGGGGGTCCACCCCCATTGGGGTCAGCATGGCCATGGAGGTACAGCCCTACAGTGGGGGTCCAGCCTCACTGTGGAGATCTGGCCCAGGCCCAACATGGGGGTCCAACCCAACCATGGCTTCCCAACTCATCATAAGAGTCTAGTCTCGCCCATGGCCGTTGTGGTCTGAGCTCACCATGGGGGTCCAGCATGGACTCAGCGGTCTGTATCAGCCCATCATGAGGATCTATTTCAGCATGGCCATGGTGGTCTGCCCCCATAACAGAGGTCCATCCCAGCACGGCCATGAGGGTCCCATCCCCACCTGCCACCAGAGCTGCTCAGCCTCGGCCACGGTGACCTCGATGACATCTCCAGGGCTGAGGCGTAGGGCAGGACCCATAGACCCCGGAGGTGGTGGGATGCCGCTGTAGGGCTGGCTCGCTTCCATCTTGGGCAAGCCTGGAAGGAAGACACACAATGTGGGGGTGAACCCAGGCATCCAGGGCATGGACACCCCCTCTACCCCCCAAACACATGGACCTCAGTGCCTGGGCCCCCCATGTTGTCCTCACCCAGGTCTCCCCGCTTCTTCTCAGGGCCTGGCCGCTGCAACTTGTTCTGGGGAAGCAACAAGACCCCAGTTAGTCCCAGGGCCTCCCCGCTCCCAAATTTGGGGCATTTCAGCCCATTTTGACCTATTATGCTGTTACCTTCCTTGTGCCAGAGCCTGAATCTGTGGGGCAGAAGAGAAAATCTTTGTTATTTGGGGGTATTTAACCCATGCCCTGATTAACTCTTGGTGCTAATAGGCTCCCGTGGTGTCAGGTGGCCCTCGTTAGGGTATCCCATAATGCCCAGCTCCATCTGGGACTGGGCCATCGCTTAAAGCCTTCCTCTACCCAGGCCACCCCATTCCACAATGCCCCGCTCGATGTTGGCCATCTTGTATCCCACAATGCCCTGCTCCATATTAGCCATCCTCCATCCCATAACGTTCCGCTCCCTAATGCCATGATGCCCCACTCTTCATCCCATGATGCCTCTCACCAGCACCGCCCTTGCCGCAGGTCCCCAGCCGTCCCAGACACTCCTTGTGCGCGGGAGCTCGGCACCGGCTGCAGCGGTAGCCCTGGTAGAACATGCCCCTGGGAGGACACCAGGACACAGGGACATGATTAGCACATGCAGACATCTCCTTGGTCCACCTGCACCCATCCACCTCGATCCACCCAGGACTCACCCAGTCCTAAACCCACCTGGGCCCTAGGCCAACCCAGTCCTTGACCCACCAGGTTCTTTGCCCATGTTGCCCTTGGCCCTACCAGGATCAACCCACCTCAGTTTTAGCCCAGCCAGGGATTGACCCACCTTGACCTTGGCCTACCCAGGACTCAACCCGCCCAGGCCTTGACCCACCCTGGTCTTGACGCACCTTGCTTTCCTCCACCCAACCCTTGACCCACCTTGGCCCTGGGGCCACTCAGGGCTTGACCCATCAGCTCTTTGACCCACCCAGTCCTCAGCTCACCCAAGACTTGATCCACGTTGGCATGGCCCACTTACTTAGGCTTGACCCATGTTGGCCTTGGCCTACCCAGGACTCAACCTACCCAATCCTTCACTGACTCAGACTTTGACCCACCTTGGCCTCAACGCAGTCTTTACCCATGCAGACTTCATCACACCTCCAGTCACCTTCCCTGGGTCTCTCCTTCCCCCAGAGCTCCCCAACCCCATCTTCCAGGTCACCCTGTCTGCCATTATCTCCCTCAGGGTACTGGGGGGCATAATTTTGGGTCCTACCTCAGCAACATCTGGCAGGCCTTGCAGGATGTGGTGTCCTCGAAGGAGAACATCTGGAAGTCATGCCCATCAGCCAGGGCGTGCTCAGGGAAGATGTTGGAGCTGGCAAGAGATGGGAATACCTGGGTTTGGTGGGGGAAAAATCTCCCCTGCAAGGCCACCCAGCCCCCAGTGGGGCAAGGCTCCCCTCCCCAGGGTGCAGAGGCACCTACAGGGCCATCTCGAACTGCTCCAGCCACTTCTTCTTCAACTCGCGGGTCTTGAAGAAGAGCTCGTAGCCCTGCAGCCCAGCCGTGTTGATGAGCAGGAAGGTGTGGGTCCACTGTGAACATGGGTGTGGCTCAGCAGCACCTGGACACCTGGGTTCACTGCCACCCAGACATCTGGAACCACTGGGGACCACATTCCTGGGGCTACCAGGCTTCAGTATGTCCACCAAGGTCCTAGACACTTGGGTTCACCAAGGACCTGGATGTTTGGGTCCACCAGACCTGGACACTTACGTCCACCAAGGACAAGGATACTGGGGACCACCAGACCTGGACGCCTGGGTTCACTGGGGGCCCAGACACTTGGGTTCATTGGGAAGTGGACACCTGTGACCACTGCAAACTGGATGCGTGGATCCACCAGGCTTTAATAGGTCCACCAAGGACCTGGACACTTGGGCCCACCAGACCCAGATGCTTGGGATCACCAGGGACCTGGACAGTTGGGTCCCAGGGTACCTTCTTGCCGTCACGGGGGCCGAGGTCACCATCCCGCAGTTGGTGGCTCTGCAGGTCCACGACATCTTTGGTTTCATAGGAGTCCCCGCGGCGCTTGCAGATGATCAGAGCCTTGTCTAGGAGGAAGCCATACCTGGGGACAGGGATGAGGGTGGCACTGAGTTCCCAAGGCCACCGTGTGCCTTGGGGTGTCCCTACCACTGCCCTGGAGTGGCCCCTGCTCTGTGACAAGGGTGTCCCCATGGTGTCCCTGTGTTCCCATCCTTATGTCCCTGTGGGTGTCCCCATGGGGGTCCCTGTTTTCCCATGTGTCTCCATATCCTCATGGATGTCCCTGTGGTGTCCCCATGGTGTCCTTGTGTCCTTGTGTCCCCATGTTCATGTGGTCTTCCTGCATCCCCATGGTTGTCCATGTAGTGTCTCCATGTCCCCCTGGATGTCCCCACATCCCTGTGGTGTCTCCCCGTGTCCCCATGATGTTGCTATCATGTCCCTATGGTGTTCCCATGTCCCCATGGGTGTCCTTGCAGTGTTCCCATGGGTGAACCCATATTCTTCTGGTGTTCCCATGTCCCAGTGGTGCCCCCATGGTGTCCCTTGCCCTGTCCCACCTGTCCACCTTGGAGCGCCGCTCGGTGCTGGAGACCTTCAGCTCCCCATCGATTTTGGGGCGCCCAAACTGCGCCAGGGACTGTGGCTGTGCCAGACATCAGCAGGGACATGGGGAACATTGGGGACATGTGAGGGGACACGGGAGGACATGGG